AATTAGTTTATTCACAAAGAAAAGTTATCTTGTTTATTTATTAATAATGCAGTTTCAAAGCTATACCGCTACAGGATACATTCGATGCATTGCGGTTTAATCGTATTTAATTAGATCATTGTTTGATAATCAACAATGCTTTAGGATACATTCAATTAATACCGAATAGAAACGCATTAAACAGCATTCCACTAAGTAACTAAATTATTTATCGAATGCGAATTACACAAAGGTATCTTACATTCTTGTAACTATACGAATTACAAATTCTAACTCAGTTTAATTTTGGCCGAAATAGCTCGGGCTGATTTCAATTTTAAAGCGTAGTTTTACAATGAGGCCGCAGCAGCTCACTTGATTAAATAGAAACGGGCGACTTTGCTGAATTTCAATCGGCCCTCTCCTAGCGTTGCTTTCCGTGCTTGGCGGCGAAACCGAGAACGTAATTCATATTCATCTCTTTTGCCAAAAAACGACATCCGACGGCACCGTGGCGCAAAGCTGTTTCCAGAGCCACGGTTTCTAAGCAGAGACCGACGAAAGCTCGAAGCAGTAGTGGTAAATCACGTTAAAGAAACGGGAGTTAACTTTACCCGAGGTTCGAAACTTTTCTTCCCCGGTTTCGGTTTACGAAACGAACGCTGCTTTGCGACCGCGTTTAGTCAAAGTAGTCGTGTTTTAGGAGAAAGCCTTAAATTGTATACGCTATTGGGAAAGTTTGCTAAGACCCGGAAGAGGATGCAACTCTCGGATGAATAACGAAGGAAGTAAATAATAACCGGAATATAACTTGAAAAGGATAATTAGGCAACATCAATAAGTTCTTTAGAAGTTATTTCTTGAGTGCAGAGTTTAAACGTGGTGATTTATACAGTACTCATTAGATTTGTAAATGAACCAATCGACCATAACCTCATACTCGAATCCGCATTGTCTGCAACCAAGTAACTTGTATAATTAGAATTACAAATATGAGTGTATTAAATATTGTACGGATGGGTGAGTGTGTTTTAAAAGTGTTCGTGTTGGGTGGTCGGTGTCCGAGCTAGCGGAGGGTTTTCTGCACATCACCGCTGACAGCTATCACAACCTGTAATCTTAAACGTATTAAAAACGAGTCGTACCATGAATACGTAATTTATTATAGCATTTAGTACCTACCAGATGCAACGTCGCGGTTGTTTTTCCTTGCCTTCTCGTAATTTACGCGGAACGCGTTGATGAATTAATTAACGTTGTTATTCACAAGAAACGCAAATCAAATATAAATGAAAACTATGTTGTAAAAAAATTATTACAGCAATTAAATAAGTCTACGTTAAGATTTTAAATGTAATAAAGACATTTATGCAACGTCAAAAGGTGTATATCTCGCATTTCATTAGATGCTTGATCGTAATGATAATGGAATCATCTGAAGACGCACGGTTAAACCCAATACTTTCTAGGTCTATTGTTAGTTCTAGTTTTGCACTAGCACTATCACTAGAACTAACACAAGACCTAGAACTAGAATCATTCGGGGTTGGGTTGGGCCGGGTTGGTCCGGGTTGGGACGTGTTTAGCCGCACGTCCAGACGGCTGGAGAGACGTGCGGCTAAACCCGAATGTTTCTAGTTCTAGGTCTAATGTTAGTTCTAGTGACAGTGGTAGGTAGTGCTAGTTAGCATAAGATATCACTATGTTGCATATTTTTATTGAACTAACAGTAGAACTAACACTAGAACTGACACAAGACCTAGAACTAGAATCATTCGGCTTTGGCCGTCTTGAAAGACTAGTGGCTAAATCCGAATGTTTCTAAATCTAGGTTTAGTGTTAATTCTAGTTTTGCACTAACACTGTCACTAAAACTAACATAAGACCTAGAACTAGAATCTTTCGGGTTTACCCGTCTTGAGAGACGTGCGGCTAAATTCGAATGTTTCTAGTTCTAGGTCTAATGTTAATTCTAGTGACAGTGGTAGGTAGCGCTAGTTAGCATAAGATATCGCTATGTTGCATATTTTTATTCTTGTTAGTTCTAGTATTAATTGTTATTCAGCGTTAGATTGTGGTATATTTTTATTGAACGAAAAGTAGAACTAACACTAGACCTAGAATCGGAAACATTCGGGATATGAAATTCTCGGTATACAAAGACATTCACAGCAATTTGACACAATTTTAAGACTGAAGGTTATAATACATGCTTTATTCAAAAAATATTTAGTAAATTTACAGATTCTATTTCAAACATTCTGCTATAAATTATCTTATTTGTAGGATTGTGTATAAATCCTTCAGCAAAGTACCGCCTCGAATACATTAAAACAATTTTATCCCGAAGTTGTGGATAGTGCCTGCATTGCGTCCGCTTTGAAACCTTGTAAATATTTAGTCGTTCACGGATATTGGCTGGTCGAAGTGTATCCAAGAAAGATCTGGTTTTAGTTGGTCGACTCCGCCGTCGGCGTCGGGACAATTTAACGACTTCGATCTCTAAAAGGAAAAGAAAGCTTGTTTATAATTAGATTAGATCGAGGTGTGAAGGTACAACTATTTAAAAAGGTTTCTCAAGTGGTTATACTTATCTAACTTTACCAAAACTTTGACGTCGTTCTCAAGCGAAACGCAGAGAAGCTATAAATTACTAAACTATTTTGTTGTTTTAAATTTAGTAGAAAGAAAGAAAGTTTAGCCATACGTTCCAGTCTTCCATTTTGAACTCACCGACCGTAGAAAAGAGATAGATCTATTAGTTTTACTTCGATTTATTGAAGACAACAAAGAAATAATATTGTTTCTAAAATAATCTAACGAGAATCTTCTTTGTAGAGATGGATTAAGCATTTGAGAAATGCGGTTTAGTGAGACAGTTGTTCTTCCTGCGAACTCTCACGACTGGTCATAACTCTCTTCGGTTATTGGTTTGCGGCTACACAACAACCAGAACGTTTATATTTCATTTTTACGCTCAGCGCCGGTGCCGTCAGTAATTGTATTTTTCCATTATTGGTTGGCTCACGTGGTCGCCGCCGTTGGTAGCTTTTATTTTCGAGGTACCCGCAAAAGATTGCGCCCGATACCGATCTTTAATTACAAGAAATGAATATATGTCATTAATAACTTATCTTAAGATTTTTTTTAATCTCCTCCCTCCGTCGGTTCTTTGATCTTATCGCAACCTGTACGAAATACCTGCCGCAGGTTATTACAAAAACATTAATAATTTATTCATAAACCTTTTATGTTGGGGACTTTTAATTTTTATTAAAGCGTAATAGTAACATTTGACCTTCCAACAATTATAATGGAGGTCGAAATAACTTCTTGAGGAAGTCTCTAGTTCATCGAGTTTCGCGGAACTTGGAGGATATAAATAAATTTTCCGGCCCTAAGGGAATTAGTTTACGCTTTCATGAATATACATTCTTCGGTTCCTTTCACTGCCCTAATTCCCTTAACCTTATCCTCCGGTTTTAGTGGACTTCCCCGGAGCTTAATTTATTGAGACGTTTTAGCCGGAGTTGGTATACCTGGGAATACTTCAACGTCCGAAGCTTCTGCACAGTCTCTAGAACATACAAAATTTATAGAGGTTCTCCTAATACCTTGCTTTTTGCACTATAAATAATGCAAACATTCTTAGTTTAGAAAATAAATTTTAGAATCTCTTTTAGGTTTAAAGTGACAAAAGAATAACTTCTATTTCTCATATCATCAGATAAAATGTCCTTATCAGAAGTTACTATACGGTCAGCGACTTTCCTTAAACCACCACGAACTCAGGTGAGTTCATATCGTTCGTAGAGTCGTTTTTCAACCACGATTCCAATTACAGCGACCACAAGAGATTCCTGTCCGGGTTGGCATCCGAGTGGGTACTTGATGTCCGTTGTATTGCATAAGTCGATAATAATGAGGCAGATCTTGTACGAACGTCACAAAAGATGTACTAGTATTACCGTGGTACGACACTAGGAAGGACACTCGAACCGAGAAATGAATCCTTGAAATAAGGGCTCCATCTTTTACAGCTGTCGAGATATGTATTTATGCAGAAAAACCACAAAAAAATTTCAAAAATTAAAAGAAAATTCGACTGCAATCTAATACTCTTAACCGAGGAAGCTTTTAAAGGAGACGAGGAACAAGCTAACGACGTGTTCTATAAAAAACGAATGCTTTTACTCTTCGTATTGTGCTGGTTTTAACAATAGTCCGGTCTGGTTAGAACCACAAAGGGCCGGTCAGCGTGTAATTTGAAAGTTGAGAAAAGTAGCGAAACAGGATACTATCCCAGGGCTTAAATAGCTGTTAGCCTACGGAACTACGTATAAAAGCACCCGAGGGAAGTATTTAGATCAACATAATAGTAGATGATTTGCTATAACGGAGCGGATATTAACCGATTATAGCGTAAAAGTTTTTGTATCAGACTTCGTTTACTACCTTTGTTGATCTTTTGGGAACGAAATTAGTGAGGACTTATTGCAAGTAATGGGATAATAGGAATACTGATGTTAAATAACAAAAAAAAACGAACCAAAATGTTTATAAACAATAAGAATATTGTTGAATTTTAAAATTATTCAAAATAAATTTAATAATCTCTGTAATAAAATAGATGTATTTTTGCTTTTAGATAATAGATGGTGCTAAATTTAAATATTCCCCTGATTTTCTGATTTTAATTTTACTACTGCCAACCAAATTTCTTTACTGTTTCGGTTTATTTAATTAATTCAAACTTATTTAATTTTGATTATAAATATTAATAATTAACTTTGCGATCGTGCGGTTGGTAATGGAAAAGATTAAATGTCACTAAGTTTAAATAAAATACCTTTTTCTTTAATTTAAATTAATTACATTATATATTACTATTATATTCATTTTTTGTTATTAATTGTTAATTATTTATTTCTATGTTAATTGAGTTGCAACGTAATCTCAAAACTTAGACGTTTCCAAGATTTAGTACCTTTATTTTTTTTTCAATTGTACTATGAAATTGACAACCCCCATCCCATTGCCCCCATCGCAAGCAAATCATTTGAGGTTATGACGTTTTTATTTTCAAAGATAATTAATATTTTCCAATGAAAATGATTGGAAAACGAGATAAATTGACCGCAGACAAGATAAAAAACAGGTATAAGAAAAATCTTTTTCACTTTTAATAATGAAGTAAGTATTTTCAATTTCATTACCACTTAACCTCAAAAATAATTTTTATTTAGAAAACTACTGGGGTTTCGGTAGCAACAGCTGTATACAGTACAAAGGCGCTGTTTAAAGACGAAAGCTCTTCAAAATCATCACCCCATAAGACAGTTAATTCGCCAAAAACTAAATCAGTTGATGTTGATGATTTTGTGAAGAATGCTGAAAAGAAAAATCTATTAAAAAAACCTATTTGAGAAGAGAAAAGAGCATATTTCAAGGAGAAAAGGTATAGGATTACATAAAGGATGCAGATTTTATTTTAGTTAACATCTAAATCAGTGGATTATCATGATAATATGAATGCTAACCTTTTCAAAAAGTAGCCCATGGAGCAGTTGCTTCCTAATTTAGATATCAGTTTATTAATTCTCCTGGATGTCCTTTATCAGTCAAGATTAAAGAAAAAGCTTCCTAGCTTAATATTGCCTAAGAGAGAACTATAAAAAAATATTACTCAAATATAACTCATCATAAAAACATGTTGAAAGCAGAACTAAATTCACTCGCCAAATTATCCAAAAAAAGTTTATAAAACTGATGAATTTGCCAATGAATGGGGCCACAAAGTAGTTGGATTACCTCCATATAATTATCAATTCAATCCCATTGAAATGGTTCAAGCGAATTGCAAACAACATTACAATAAACATATAGGTAGAGATGAAGCACTATGTAAAGTGATATCAGAAGATTGTTCAAAATGTTAAACAAATTAAAATTTTAGTACATTATTAACTATATCATAAAATACAGTGTGTTCATTAATTATCCTACCCGACGTCATCCTTGCAAGTATGCAACCAATATCACAGCAATTGGTATTGTAATATGGTTGCATACTTGCAATGATGACGTCAGGTAGGATAATTAATTAACACAGTGTATATACCTAATATATTATAATCCAACTGCATGTTTTATTTATATAGATATGAAATATAAATTTTAAAAAAAATCGTATCTCAAGAACGAATTGAGATATCATCATGAAATAAAAAGCAATTTAAAGTTACTAAGTTGAATTAAGTTGTAAGGGATGTTTATAAATGAAAAGTAATAAAAAACAATTTCTTTCTAGTAATTTATTAAGTTATCTAGTTTAAAATGATACCCAAGCAGTACACGATCGTATAATGGTAATAATAATATGGCAAAACTTTATTGCACCTAATAACTAACTAAAGGAGAAGGGAATAACAAATAAAAGAAGAGAAAGAATAAAAATTAAAGTACATCGTGTGTAATCTCCTAACGAGTAACTGAGGAACAATTCACATCATTTCAAAAAACTCTACTAACAAATCAAATAAATTCTCGTTTAGATGAGGGGCTAACAGGCTAAATTACCCCTTGGCATAATGCTTATAACACTAAGAGGGGTGAACAAAAAATGCATCCCTACGGATTTGGTTTAGGTATACCTTAGTATTGATCATATATACGTTATGGTTTCTTTTTTTTCTTTACACATACACGCATTTATATATAATAATATTATATGTATATAAGTTTCTGCCGCTTAGCAAAACTATATTTCGGTGTACCCAACGGTTCTCTACACCCTATATAAAAGTTGCACTTTTATTTATTTTTATTTTTTTTATTTTCATAATTTCCGCGTACATATTTCATTTAAGTATTTATTATACTCTCTTTAAGAAGGTTAGGAACTCTGATCCAGCGTCTTTTCGGCAGGGTATCTGACGAAAAGGCTGTTATTATTATTATTTTCTGAAGGCACCCAGCCTCTCCACAAACTAAACTTTACATAAACGAAAAAGTGTTTAAGTTGAATCCAAAAATGAATTGTTGAGAGGCTGTTACGAAAAATTAGGAACCATTTATTGGTTGTTATAGTACAACAAATGCTGTAGAGTTCTAAATGTGACGTTCGTATGGCGTTCATGTATTAAGCAGACCATGTTTACCTATTATAGTTAATTGTGTGAAAGAAAAATAAACTATACAACTTAATCTTAAAAAAAGACTTAGACTTTTAAACATAAAAAAGACGAATAACATTTACAACAAATAATAATAAAAAACGGAGATCCCTGCGGTTTGAAGCGGGAATATAATTATGGAGGTCAGATGAAAGATGAGGTAGTTCATCTTTTATTTATGGCAACGTAACGTCGCGAGAAAACTTCATATTTAATCCTATCGTAACTAAATATATCAAAAACGTAAAACAAAACTTATGTACATTATAAAACTGTATATCAAATTTTTCAAAAATCACTTTAAATGAAGAAACAATATCGAGGAGCTATGTACACAATAATAATAACTTTTTAATGTAATTTTTAAATTTATCTTGTCCTAAGGGTTTTCAGACACCAAATACATTTAATACCAAATAGCTTTTTCTACTTAATTTAACGTTCCTTTATGTTAATGCAACATGTATGCATTAGATTTAATATCTACTATTTATTGTATTTCTTTTTTTACTATTTATACAAGGTAATAAATTAGGTTTAATCGAAAACAAATTACACAAATGTTTGGTGCTTATCATATTTCTTTGAAATAGTATACTTCATTTCTTAATTAACAACGTTTTACCCTATTCTTACTCAATATTTAACAATAACCGCTATTTTTCTTTCCCGTTTATAACAGGATTCTTCTATATACCTGTGCAACTATAAAGCTTTTTACATTCTCTCTTTTTTCCGTTTCGACAATACTCTTTATTTAGTTATCTCTTAAAAGCTAGAGAGCTTGAAATACAATACATGTATATGAAGCAATCTCTTTTTAACCAATCATAATGGAAGAACGAAGTCTACCCGTTCTTAACAAATAAGCTATTTTATTTATAAATGAATCTATCCCATCTCACTGAATTACACATAAATGATTAACTTATTACGCCGATGGAATAGACTAAAAATAAACGGTTCCGCAAAAACTTGGAAGATTATGTATCAGTTATTACTATGAAATGTTAAATCAAAAATGAAACTTAACACTATTTCCTGAATATTGTTACAAATACCTGAATCCAATATCACTGGTTCTGTCTACGACTAATTGTAGTTTGTGATGAAATCTGTATACAACTTGGCAAATCTATCTTGGTAAATCAAATATCAGAAGTTGTAGATTTTTTCACTAATTAAGCTGAGGTTGCTTATGGCTGAGATTATATCTACCTAAAACTGGCGCATTTGCCTTTCACTGGCCAAGATAGATTTGTCAAAGTAATTTGTATAAAAAAAATTAAAAGAAAAAAATCCCTGAAATATCATAAAACGAAACAATTTGTACTTGTCTTGATAAACGGTATAACCTGAGAAATTTAAACGCGTATTTCTAACCGGTGATGATTGTTTTGAAACATTGCTTTCATTATTATTATACAACACTATTCGGAAGCATAACAATATATTTGGAAGCATCTATAAAAATAAGAAATACCTCGAAAAACGTTTTTAAAAATTCACTTACAAAAATATCGTCATAGGAAGGCAAAAACGCTTTGTACCATTTTCACCTGGATAGAATGTCATAAACGTCGTGAAATTAATGTCTGAATAATATGGATTAATCGTTAACAGAATGTCACCCGTATCTCTAATATTGACCCCAAACGTACGTAAATCCTTATTGTATATAGGTCTATGGCAGTTGAATCCACAAAAATGGAAGCCTTAAAATAAGAAGCTCTGGTAGTAATCTATGTGTTTAAAGTAAAATTGAAAAATATCTCTATCACAGTTACATATTATCAAAAAACGTAAATTTTTTACGTACGCCTGGAGCAACAAAAAATATACAATGTAATAAATACATCTGGCACATATTAAAAACCTCTAATAAGTAATATATGGTACAAATCTACGTAGTCATTTATTAAAAACACACAAATATAGACTTATATACCGTATACTGTAACACCCTTATTGTTATCTTCATTTTCATTTTTTTTAAGTTTAAAAGGTTACTAACGTACAATTAGTTAGTATGAGGTAGACGGATGGAATATTATCGTATAAATTGGTTGAGACTTCGATCGGATATCGGAAGTGTTGAGGTAGTTGGATGGATTCTTACTCCGTTCTTCTCCGATTACAAGATCTACTAATCACCAACTTTCACCGTTTCGGCTTCCCTCTCTTCATCTGAATACTCATCCTGTTCATCACCCGATGACTCTGCTTCCTCTTTCATATCTCTTTCATGGTCTTCGTTAATAACTAAATCACCTTCTCCTCTTCGTATCTCATCGTTTCTCTTCATAAACATATCTCCACCCATTGACGATTGTTGCATCTTCTCTAAAAACTGATGATTTTTACTCGCGTTTATTTGAGCTAATTTCGCAGCGTGCAACGCCGCCATCGCTTGCTCCTGCGATATCCCCGACATTCCAAATCCATTATCGGTCATAAATTGAAGGTATGTATCTAAAAGTGATGATCCCATTGAGTTATTTCCAACCAGAGGTCCTAAAGAGCCTGGATATGATGGTTCTTTAGATAAATTATGAGGAGAATCTATACTTTTTGCCGATAATGCTTGGCTAGAAGACATCGATTTTGCCAATTTCAACGGTGAATTTAGATGATTCATTGATTGCGGTAACCCATAATCATTGCTGTACCTCCCATGGGACATCGTGAGATCTTCTGGGTCGTTATCATCACAAATTGAACTCCCAGCTTCCGAAGGTGCTGTGGAATACGCACTTTTTGCGTCTAATTTTACGTCGGCCCTTCTAGGACCTGTCGGTGAAGCTCTGGCGCGTAATTCTGAAGGGCTCACTTTTATTCCCGCTTTTAATAATAACCTAAAACAAAAATGAATTTTAGTTTTAAAATAATTTTTTTTGTTTAAGATAACTTACTGGCTTGCGAGATTTGGATCAAACGGAGCTGGCATTGGAAGTACTGGAAGATCTTTCGTGCTTATTCCTCTGTGTTGCCTGGACATGTGGGAATGAAGAGAATTTCTTGACTTCGCTACAGTTCCGCATAACACACATCTGTATCCTGGACAAACCGTGTGTTTATCTTCAAGATGTGTGCGAAGAGTGTGAGCTGATCTGTAGATTTTCCCGCATTTTGGACATGGTCTAGGATCGGTTGCCCTAACTCTCATTACATCCATACCTCGACGTGCTATTAAAAATTAAAAATTTGTTACTTCACGTTTATATTTTGGGCTAAATACACCAATACGTAAATGTTCATTTTGAAAAGATTTGATTGAAATAAAAGAAATATCGTGTTATAAAATTTTTAATTCGAACAATCACTTAATGAATAAGTAGATATATTACAACTCAGATTGAAAACGTTCGTGTCTCTTTTATATACAATATGCAAACTTCTTTGGATGTAATAATGTTTACTTATTGACCGAATTCACTTAATTCTCAGTTACTCCACTTCATCTGTTTCATGATTTCCCATTGTCTCGAATGTTTCGCTCGCATGTGGTTTCTGACAGAATTGGGGTGGCTGAACTTCTTTCCGCACTCCGTAACGGGACAGAAAGGACTATCCCTGGGATAGTGTTCGTCGATGTGCAGCCTGGCAGCGTTGAGGGATGGAAGCACTTGGTCGCAAAGTGGGCATTCGTACTTGATGTTGACGATGTGCTGAGCCGAGGACACCTCCAGCTGGCTGTTAGTGCTCATCCTCTGTACCAACCCTATGGCACCTGGTCCGCCACCCCTGGCATCTGCAATGCCAAAGTCTCGCTGCTATAGCTGCACTTTTCATATATAAATTTATTTTAAAGGTCATAAGTGAGTGTATCATGTCTTTTTTTTTAGAAATTTGCTAATTTAACTTCCTTCTGATGACTTCTTCCTTCCTGAAATCACATCGATCCACACCTTATCGTACAACAATTGTTTCGTTAACTCAAAAATATTTATAAATCGGCTTTTTGTTTATTTCTCTTTGTTTATTTTATGATTATATAAGATTGTTAAATGTCACGCAAACCGTATGAGAAGAAAGTCATAAATACAATAAATTAAATCTGGTTTGGACATTAAGAATGTCGCATGGCCTAATTGGTTGAATGTCTAGCCCGAAATTCGCGATTACGTCAGCCCACTTTAACAGAAAAATAAAGAATGTTGCCGTCGTGATTCATTTACATACGCTAAAATCGCAGCGGCGATTTATTCAATGTGTGTTTGCGTATTGAGCGGCAAGTATATGCAAGTAAATGAGTAAGACCTTGTTAAATCTCTTATTGAGAAGAATGAACAATTCGCTTAGTCAAATTTTGTTTAGACGCAAGATTAGAATTAAAACCTATTAAAATAATGACATAGAAAATTGGCCGGAATTGACCGTCGGACAATTACAGTCCAATTTGGTCCAAATGAATAAATTCTAGTTGTTTAGATATAAAGAACTTTCTCATTTGTCCCGCATTTTAAATTTAGTCTTATAATTAATAATAGTTGAATCGAAGATTTTTGATAGAAAATTTCGACAATTTTCTTATTGAGCACATTAATCACTGGATTAGGATTAATACTAAACCAAGTTTATTAGCAATAAATTCCTCTTATCCCCAAAAAAGGAGTGACCGCTCTCTCCCCCTTCAAGAAACTGCGTTCGAATGTGGTGTAAGCAGGACACGGTGGCGCCTTCTGGTGTCCTCAATGATATTATCGGCAATTCCCTAGTAGAAGAGTCATGAAAAAAAGCAGATAAACGGCCGTTTTATATCATCCCGAAGTCGATAAGAAGATAGAGAAAGTTCGTGTTCGGGTGCTATAATTTTTTCCCCGGTTTTTATAGCTAGAATAAATACGATGAGAATTAGTGAGATTTTGTTTTTTAGTTAAATTTATCACACAAAATAGACCACTTAATGGAAGGTGATGCAAGACGAACGAAGTAATTACAAAACGTCGATAAGTTTCCTCCGGCGGCGTCGGCAATTCCGGGATAGCTCTCCTTCTTCTTGGAGATAGGAGTCGGGTTTAATTTTACCCGGACTCACTCACTATCGATTTCTTCCATTCCTGCCTACCGTCTGGAATACATCTTACCTCCTCTCCGATTGCCACCCCGTACCATCCCTTCCTTCGTTACGTACACATCGGCTTTTCCCGAAACGCGTTTCCTTGTTTTCCCACCCACCGAACCTATTTCCCCCTTAGATTTTCCCAAAGCACCCCTTCGGTTCGGTTCGGTTCCATTTCACCGCTCGACAATTATCAAATAGAACGTTATTGGTGCGTTCTAAACACGATTTTAGTGGGATACGAAATTCTGTTTAATGAGAGAATTAATATAAAAAATAATCGTTGCATGATTTCATCAATTTTCGTTCGGTGTTTTGGTTCGGTGGGCGATGATTAGGGGTGGTGGTGTCATGGTATCGTTGGTACCGGGTTGAGTGTAGGACGGCAATTAGTTTGTTATCGTTCGTTGATAATCTTTACGAGGGTTGTGTATAATTATGGTCTATTTCTAGCGGAACTTTGGGGTTAAATATTATTCATAACACTTTGTGTACTTTCAAAAGGAAGTAATGAATAAATTATAGCAGAGGAAATCCTTTAAAATTAATGCTATTATAAAGAGAAAGTTGTTTTCTTTCCGTATTTAATTCAATAAAACTAATAAAATTGGAGAAAGTTTTTTATAAAAATAATTAAATATGTATCAGCTATATAAAAAATCTCATAAAGGTGGTGGTCATAAACAGGTTCATGACTTTTGAAATGCTCGCCGAAAAATCGTTACGAAGGACGTCAATGGCCCTTAGCAACTGTACCAACACCCCCTTTTTTTCCTTCAGGTAGAAATGAAGGCGCAGATGGCAAACGGTATTGTTCTCCTATTAACGATTAGCTGACTCACGTTCGAATAAAATTCAATGTCCTGTCGGGATTACAAATGACAAAAAAAGCGAGAAATATAGAGAATGAGAAAAGGGGATGAAATAAGAGGGTGGTTTTTTACCTGTTCCGCATGAAGGGACTAACTTCACCACCACCCACATTCTACGGGGCTATTTGAAGACGCTGGGGAATTGTTCGGAAATTATTAAACGAATCGAAGTGCGTGATAATCATTTTTAAGACGAATAAATTATTAAAAAAAAATAAAGTAATAAAACCGAACGACAATTTCCTGCTAAACATGCACTATCCATCGTGGTTACCTGGCTTTGTGATGTTTATGGTAATAATCGCGTGTTAAAAGAACATGAACGTGCTCGTGCGTGATTTCACACGAACCAGTACGAATATAGTTGAACCGATCATCAAGACTGGATTGTTACAAACTACCCTCAAGGGTAAAAATAAAAATAAATACGAAATCGAGACCAAACTTAAAAATCAACTTTGCTTTTTTAAAACGAACCGGACGTAATCAAAACCAACCACCCTCTCTTTCAACTTAGTTTTCGATCGACCCCCTTTTTAAAGGTTTGGGGCGAAAATCCCATTGTTTTATTTAATCCCTTCCACAACTCATCGAGTGCTTGCTTCAAATATTTCTTAAAATTTGACTAAAAATAACCTTCAAAATATAATATTACTCGGAGTCTGGTTAAGTTAAAGGAACCAAAGACCTCGTTTCGTTCCACTACCCGATTCCCATCCAGAATAGAACGAGGCATATCTATTGATTTATGTGTTCCGTCTGTACATGCGTTGTCTTGCTCTATCTTCTTAGCGAGTAAAAGATGGAACATGGAACTCTATGGGCGTGTAGGTGGAAAGGGGAGAGAGTCCTAGAGGGTGAGCTAAGCAGGAGGAAAAGGGGATCCTGGACGGTCCAGTAATCCTCTTATCTGCTCCGGGTTTTCGCCCTGGATGAAACTCCACACGATCGCCTTGTTTCAAAATCTAATTGTTCACATTGTTTAATATAGATTCAAATAATATAATTGATTCAAAAAAGATGACTTTTAAACCGCTGATTTCTTCTTTTCTTTATCCTAGAAATTCAGATCGATTCGATGGACTTGACCGAAAAGAGAAGGTTTCCCGCCTCCCACCCATTAAAAACTTTCCCGCAACGTAGTGGTTTCGGGCTCTCTAACTTTCGCAGGGGAAAAACTCGGGATAGTATGCCAAAAAAGAGAATAAGAATCGACGTTCGTGACTTTATGAAAAAAGGCCCCGATTATCTTCCCGTCAATATGTCGTTTCCCGCACCCATTTTCTACACGAAAAGCATATTTCATTGATGCCTACCGCAAAAGGGGGTTGTTATTAAACATACTCTCCGACACCGAGTGGGAGAAAAACACGTGGTTTATCTCTTACTTCAAAATGGGATCCTAATCAATGTTATTTTTCATAAATATATTCTTTTTCATTACGTATTGGTGTAGTAAAGTAAAATAAAATGTGAAAAATGATAACGAAACTCACCTCCAAAAGTATCCGGACTGCCTAATAACGATGGTCCGGGTAATACTCCAGGAATACCTAAAACATAAAACATAACAAGATTTAAAAAATAAATCTTCGCAGATTTAAAGAGATTTATTTCTTCAAACACACTGTCTATAAAAGTTTTCCCAAACAACTTTCGGCAATAAAACATTTGTACTTATCTTTTAACTTGTAAATACTAATTAAGACCATCAATGACTACTTGTTATTCTGAATATAAACAAGTTAAAACCATAAAACTGTATTCCTCTACGTCTTAATAAATTGATGTTTATCATCAAACTATACTTAATTTATTTCGATGGCTTATTAGATATGTAGATTTAAGTTTCGAAATATCAATTTAAATTTTTCTTCCTGTTCCCAATGACATATCATAAAATATTATTTCCAAATATTAGTATCAAATATAGAAATAAAAATACCTTGTAGATTTAGGAGTGATCCAGGAAATGCGGGCGGCCTGGCGGGATCTATCAAACCACCTCCATTTGTGCTAAATGGATGTTCTTCCATAACGGAATAATCTCCCATTTCAGTCTTTGTATCTCTTTCCTGGTCACTTGTTTGCGTATCATTGCTTTCTTCATTCTCTGATTGGTTACCATCTTCTTCCGTTTTCTGTAACATTTCAATTTGCGTTAGAAATTTACATACATCAACTTAAAAGCATTCATTCTTACTACCGTGGTGTGTATTGTGGGTCCTCCTTCTAGCGCTTGTCCTAAAAGAGATTCTTGTGTGTCTCCGTTATTTCCTCTTGGAGTATCGGCCCGTTCTGACGATTCTTCCAAATCTTCTGTGTCCGTTCGTCTTACACGTTTTGCTGGAGGTACTGTTAAATCGGACTCTTTTGTTGCTTCCGGTCGATCGTTTGCCCATGTTAATAGTGGTCGTGGAGGGCGCTAAAATTAATAAAAAATAACTGTAATATAACTATTTAGGATGTCTAAATTATTTTGATAAAGACAAAATATTTTTTTAAACCAAAATTTTTTCCTCGCACAACTATATCCAAACGAACGCAAAGACTTCAATTAGTGGGCTGAAACTGTATAGATCTCAACTTAGCCGACACTGCAGAGGCAATATTTCATGCCTACCAGAACAAGGAGGTTGATGTGATTGGGTTAGGTTGGGTTGAGTTACATCTAGGAGTGGAAGAAACATTATGAAGTGATGTCTAAAAATGGCGCAGAACTGTGTAAACTATGAAGTGTCTATAACTTTCTGACATCCCAGAAGAGCTTTCATTCAAGAGGTCTGGTTATAATTCAATATAACACCACGTCTGTCGATTCCTTGATACTAACTTTTTTTGCGAAGGATAGGAAAACGAATTAATATAAATTAAGAGATCAGAAAAAGATGTAACGTAAGATTTAAGAGAATACTTTTTCTTTATATACTTTGTAAATGCGTAAAATTAAAAAAAAGAATTTTAATAATCAGATCAATAACCATCCATAGTAACCATTTTAGTTTAGATGACTACTGGTGCCAAAGAGGACTTTTTTTATTTCTGGTAGCGTTCATAGAACGACGAAGCGATTCAATTTTCTCTGCTGTGAGTCGATTAAGTGAGCTGTCAAGAAAGTGCATAGTCATCAGAATAGCGCCCGGTAAGGTCGTGTTACCACGAGTCGATTTTGCCGCCTATTTTTCGGTTGGCCGACCAGCGTGTTTGTCTTAACGTGTCTTGTTTGGTAAATTGGTTGACGGAGTTTAGCTGTGCACGGCATCTTTAAACGCGACGGATGCAAACAACGATGAAAAATACAATGAAATGGGCGATTTTGATCTCGCACAATCTAGACGGTCGTTGTGCAAGTACCTAAAAATAGTTCTTACCTGTGAACTTCTTTGTTCGACCGGTTGGGACTTGTACTTGTTCTCCAGTTCGCTCAGACCGCGTATTTGTAGCATCTGGCATGCTTTTATAAATTCTTCTAAGTGGTCTTCACCGACGTGTACTTCACCGTTGTACATAAACCTGAAAAAGTAAAAATAGATTAAATTATAAATTAATACTTTTTAATTTGTTTAATGGCGTATTAATCACAAGTGTTGTTTTCACGCTAAGAAAGGCGTGGCTCACCTAGCTTTCTATAATGTAATGTGAATAATATGTAAATAACCGGCTCAGAGACCGATCTTTGCTGAGCTTAAAAAATAAGTGCTCATAATAACCAGAGGAAAATAACAAACAAGTCGTGTTTAAAACAAACCGTAATAAATAAGAGTGTTGAAGTATGAATTTTGTTTTGAAACAAATTTCTTTGCAAGTTAGATAATCTTTCGAGGTAGAAAACTGTGTGTTCTAAAATTTCAAAGTAGTTGCTAATTTGCGAATCCGTGCACGTTATTTTCGCGTACCACATCTTCTCGAATTATATATAGAATGTTCCCACATGCTCTCTCACGAATGCGAGTGTGGTAAAATGTACCATGATTTACTGTTATTCATTTCGTCTGAGACGGAGTATAATAATTTTAGATTTTTCGCAATTGTGTTAGTCATTTGCAACTTTTTGGTCGTTACGTATATTTCTTCGAATACTCATCCGAGAAATCATTACATACCAAATCATAAATAATACATACATTATAGCTATATCCATAAATATGACTAGACGAAAAAACACATCACGTCTAACCTTGATATTTAAGGTGTACGTAAGTATAATTAGATACCTGGCCCCCTATAATAACAACAACGTATAAATTACGCTCCAATGAAGAGAACATGTAGGATAATTATAAGATTAAGGACGCGTGATATACGATTCGACTACGACCACACTAAAACAAAACTCGGTGAGCAAAAAATTTCACGATTTGCATCTTTTCAATGTTAAATCGAAATTTATTTGATACTAGATGAATGTTAATGGAACTCTTTTCGTTGACATTTTATCCGGTAGAACCAATTTCGAACGGAGAGAAACATTCCGTTACGTGACAAGGCTCGATGTTTGAGAAAGTGCTTTAACTTCACGTACAGGAACAAGTTTTTGCTTTTGATTGATGCGTACAATTCGACTACCGTCAAGTAACAATACAGACTTTAAACTGATTGAAAATAGATAAATAAATTTAAAAAAAATTAATCTTACCGTAATAGATTATCCATATCCCTTTGTTTGACATCTCTAAGTATGATGATGGGATGCTGACAGGGATTTTCTTTAAGAAGCTGCTTAAAGTAGGGGCTACAGGCTGATAAAACGACCTTGTGGGCAGTGAAGGAGCAGCCATCACAGGCTAAGGTGACATCCACGAAGTCTTCCTCGTCCCTGAGATGTCGGAACGAGGAAATCATAGAAGTAGGGTAATCGTTCCATCGCAGAGCATATTGTTGCTCTGGGGAGGTGTCGCCCCCCATTGGGCACTGTGATGGGGCTATCTCTACGCCAATCTTTAAGCCGTTAGTCGATCACGTAGAAGAGCCCCTCGGCTCTACGTCTGCTTCCACTCGAAGCGAAATCTTCACCGATCGACACGTTAAAAAGTCTTCATTAAACTTCAGGACGAGTTTTGTCCTTCTTCGGGATGATTTACCTAGAATCGAAACAAAAAACGTGAGGGAAGACGCTCGTTATTATTTAATTCTTGACGCGGTAATGAGCAGAATTCAATGTCAAGATGTCCGCCCGTACGAAATAAATTGAATAATTTAAGACGATCAGGACAATTTAACCGCACGGCTGGGTCGAATAGGACGAACAACACAATACATCTGCCTACAAATCTGCACGGACACTTTTAATTATCAATTCTTTGTAGCGCGTAATTACGTCCGTTCTTATTTCGGCTAATGTATTTCAACGAAATAACCGGGAAATACATTAAATTCCTCTTTCCATACAGATTTGAATCATCCACATACGCGCAAGCATAATTGCAATAAAACGTGGCCGTAAACAATTTCGAATTCATTACCAATAAAAGATAATTGAGTGGAATAAAAGATTTTCGTAACGGGATTCTTTTTTTCCCAGTGGACGTTTATCGGTGATATTCGCGGATACAGTTATGAACGGCGGACGTAAAGTCAACCGGGGAATCTCGAAATAATTAATGTCCGATCGGTTGAAATAACGCTTAATTGGCGGACACGGGCAACCTACATTCGGACAACCTGACACTCAAATTCGACAAACACCGCAATTGCGTGTACCGGTTTTCTGGTCGCGAAATTTTGTTCTACCAACAACGTGTCAAATTCTCTGATTTATTTACCCTAATTATACAGCAGGTTGAATTTGACCGCGATATTATTGCGTGGTTTTGTTTGTTATTAGTATGATTATAAGACTATTTGACGAGTTATTGTTTCCCTATAACTTAATATAATTCTTGTAGAATGTTTTCATCTGCGCATTTCTACCACTTTTCTAATTCTTGTAAACATAGCTTAATAGTACAGGCATTAGGTAGTTTTGCAAAGGAAAAGTTTTGCAAAGGAAAAGTTTTGCTTGGAAAAAGGTGAGCCGCACATTTCTCAAGACGGCTAAACCCGAATGATTCTAGTTCTAGATCTTGTGTTAGTTCTAGTGATAGTGCTAGTGTAAAATTAGAACTAATACTAGATGGAAAAATAGAAACATTCGGGTTTAGCCACACGTCTCTCAAGACGGCTAAACCCGAATGATTTTAGTTTTAAGTCTTGTGTGTGAGTTCTAGTGATAGTGTTAGTGTAAAACTAGAACTAACACCAGACCGAGAACTAAAAACATTCGGGTTTAGCCCCACGTCTCTCAAGACGGCTAAACCCGAATGATTCTAGTTCTAAGTCTGGTGTTAGTTTCAGTGATAGTGCTAGTACAAAACTAGAACTAACACTAGACTTAGAACTAGAAACATTCGGGTTTAGCCGCACGTCTCTCAAGACGGCTAAACCCGAACGATTCTAGTTCTAGGTCTTGTGTGTGAGTTCTAGTGATAGTGCTAGTGTAAAACTAGAACTAACACCAAACCGAGAACTAGAAACATTCGGGTTTCGCCGCACGTCTCTCAAGACGGCTAAACCCGAATAATTCTAGTTCTAGGTCTGGTGTTAGTTTTAGTGATAATGCTAGTGCAAAACTAGAACTAACACTAGAACTAGAAAGTATCATAGAAACCACGGCGCACCTACTTACTTTGTCCCACATAATTTGACATTACAGTAAAACCTCGGTATATCGAATCAATAAAGGGAACGCAGTGGCCGTTATAGCTCAATAAAAATAACTATATTTATATAAAACATTTCTTGTTCTAGATCTAGTGTTAGTTCTAGTTGTAATTCAATAAAGATATACAACATAGTGATATCTTATCCTAACTAACGCTTCCTACCACTGTCGCTAGAACTAACATTAAACCTAGAACCAGAAACATTCAGGTTTAGCCGTCTTAAGAGACGCTAGGTCTAGTGTTAGTCTACTTTTATTTGTTATTCAGCGCTAGATTGTTGTATATTTTTATTGAGCTATAACGGATACTGCGTTCCCTTTATTGATCCGATATATCGTGGTTTTACTGTAATGCCAAAGTATGTGGGACAAAGTAAGTAGGTACGCCGTGTTTTCGATGAAAATATATTTTTGTATATTGCAGCTTAAGTGAAATTCACTGTGTAAAAAAATCAGTTTAATTACTTTAATTACTAATTACAGTAATCTCAAGAAAAACAACATAGAAGCAACGTTAAATCAATTAACCAAGTTCCCACACATGTGTTTTTAAAGTAAAATTAAATATATCTAATAATTGCAGTTATAATAAAAACTACGTCTCAAAACATCTTGTACGTTACGTTACTCGTTAATTACAAAGAAAATAAAAAAGGTGGAAGCGGGAAATATAAAGTAATGGTTTCCCATGGTGTGAACAATACAACATACAATTTTTGAGTACACACAAATTTTAGAGTGGTACGATATGAATAATAACACTTTATAATAGTAATTATTTCTAATTATCTCACAAAGCAAGAGCAATTAACACTAATAGCAACCTACAGCATTCCTCTATTTAGAGGCATGGCTCTTTGTTTAGAAATTGTTGGTTACATGCTGAAGCCATATGTTATTATGTGCAGTGAATAATTTAATTCACATAAAAAGCGGGATGTTCTCTTTTTAATTGGCAGTTGTGAATTTGAATAAAAAACTTTATAGTAAAAAAAAATACACACAAAGAGATGATTTAATTAAAAGTATGTGTTGAAATTTAATACCGAATAGTTTAAAACGTCGAAATATAAATGGTACAAGTACAATTGTTGCTCAGCCAAAAATATCCATGTTTCTAACGTCCCGAATTAACAAATCCATTCTAATTGTATAATTGTGTACCTTGTATACATATGCAATTTGCGAAAAAATATTTTAGGTGTTTGTATTTGTTCAATGTAGAAAGCTAAAAATTTGCGTAAAACAAATTGTATACCGTGTGGTTCAAAAATTGTGAGAAACGAGTTGTGCTTTAAATTTAACATTTTTGTTTTATTTTGATTTGCAGTGTAATTCTAACGTTTATTTATTCAATTATCTATGTCATAATTGATTGAAATTGTCCTAAAAAAACCCCCGGAATTATCCTTTGTTTTTTTGTCCAAAAATACAGTATAAACACAAATTAAGATGAGTGCGAGAAATAATTGTTAAGATTTTGCGAAATGTTTAGCTGTAACTACAAGGCCAACGGCAAGTATAACAACATTAATTACCATGAATATTTGTTTTCGAATTAGTAAAAACTACGCTTGCAATTAAGAGGATTACCAACTTATTTTTATCGGTTTCTTTTTTTGGGTTCTTACGTAAGCGAACGATTACAACCATTGCGTATCCGGTTTACCATATATACGTTAATGCGAAGGCGGAAATCCGAAAAGAGTGAAAAAAATCGACTTTTCGTGTTCTCAATTAATAACGGTTTCTTTCATCCGTTCGTTTATTATTTAGCATTTAGGGAAAAAATTATTTTTTCAATTCGGTAATCTTTAAACTTGGTTTTCCGGTTAGTGATTATTGTACTCAGAAAATGTGCGACATATATTCTCAAGGCCAGTAAACACTTCATTTATACATCGGGTATGAACTGCCAAATATTTTTTGTTCCAATAAAAAAAATAAAAGAGTCAGCTAATAAAAGCGCAAAAATAAATAGAAACGCTTTAAAGTGACACATTACGATGTGCAGGTGCTATTTTTATTTAAACTGTACATTTTATTGCCTATTGACCACGATAGTTTCCTATACATTCTTAATGGTGTATAATAAACGGGCGATAACGGCTTAACCAATAGTTACACGTTAAAATCACCGAAGATAATACACAAAAATTTTTTATTGAAGTGCAATAGACAACGGGGAAATATTTATAGACACATAATTACTTTGATATTTATCATTATATAATTAAACAAAAAAAAGAAGGAAAAAAGAATCATTACCAAATTTATTGGCTGCTTACTTTTATAGCATTATTAAATTAATCATAAAATACCAACGAGAAATTTCGCGTAGTTATGACGTATTAACTATTATTGGAAAGTACTTGTACGATACATATAATAAGAAACGTGTTGGCCTCAAAACACCAATACATATACCAATATTTAAAATTTTCTTCAAAATAAAATCGACTAACCAAGATTAACTTTTCATTATTTGCTGATTCATTAATTTACCATATCAAAAATAAACACATCGAAATGAATAAGCATGATAATTATTTAATTGTTTTCAGTTATTATAGCTGTTGTGTTATTGTGGTACTTCCCTGAAGTTTGAAATCATTTTTCAAAAACTATAATGTAATCTTTACCATAACACAAGATTAATGAAATCATTAGAATGAGTAGTATGTTTATAAGTTTATTATACACATTTTACATAGCAAGAAATACTCTCGATCTTTTTCCTAAATATTTTTATGACCAAACCTATCATGTTTTATATATCACTTTAAACCGGAATTGATAGAATTGTTGCTCAAAGTAAAGTTTTCATATTAAACAATTTTTATTAATGTATTTTTACAGGTTTTATCTAAAAGTTGTTCTCAAAAGGCTATTTTGGGAAAGACACATTTATAGGATACTGAGACTGGGCGGTGTAAGTGCTCGTGGTAATAGACAAAGCGTATAGATCAATCCACAACTTAAAAAACGTCTGTGATCTCCCCACAAAACACAAGTCATAACACAAGAATTAAAGGCTACGGAGAAAAATGTTTTATACCTAAATTGTTTATAATGAATCAAAAAGACGTTATCCATAACCATATTCTAGTTAGAAGCTGCAATTCCCCAAAGTATCAAAATTGCATATTTTCATTCTTAAAGATAACCATAACACAAAAACTAAAGGCAATGGAGAAACATGTTTTATGTTAATTTTATTTAGAACGATCCAAATATATATTATGGATTGTATATCAGATCAAGTTTAATTGTAACTGCATTCTTGTTGGAAAGTGGAATGCCCAAAATATCAAAATTGTATGTTTTCGTTGTTAAAGATGGCCATAACACAAGAATAAAGGCTATGGAGAAGAATATTTTCTATCAAATTTACTTATAATGAACTAAATATACATTATGCATAACCAGATCAAGTTTAATTATAACTGCATTCTAGTTAGAAAACGGAGTGTCCGAAATATCTAAATTGCCTGTTTTCATTACTAAAGATGGCCATAACACAAGAAGTAAAGGCTATGGAGAGAAATGTTTTGTATCAAATTTATTTATAACGAACCAAATATAGATAATCCATAACCAGATCAAGTTTAATTGTAACTGCATTCTAGTTAGAAAGTGGAATGCCTAAAATATCAAAATTGCATGTTTTCGTTATTATAGATAGCCATAACACAAGAACTAAAGGCTATGGAGAAAAATGTTTTATGACAAATTTGTTTGTAATGAACCAAATATACATAATCCATAACCAGATCAAGTTTAATCGTAACTGTATTGTAAAGTAGAATGCCCAAAAAATCAAAATTGCATGTTTTTGTTATTAAAGATGGCCACAACACAGAACTAAAGGCTATGGAGAAAAATGTTTTATGCCAAATTTATTTATAACGAACCAAATATAAAGAATCCATAACCAGATCAAGTTTAATTGTAACTGCATTCTAGTTAGAAAGTGGAATGCCCAAAATATCATAATTGCATGTTTTCGTTATTAAAGATGGTCATAACACAAGAACTAAAGGCTATGGAGAAAAATGTTTTATGCCAAATTTATTTATAACGAACCAAATATAGATAATCCATAACCAGATCAAGTTTAATTGTAACTTTCTAGCTAGAAAGTAGAATGCCCAAAATATTTGCATGTTTTCATTACTAAAGATGGCCATAACACGAGAACTAAAGGCTATGGAGAAAAATGTTTTGAATCAAATTTATTTATAATGAACCAAATATACATAATTCATAACCAGATCAAGTTTAACTGCATTCTAGTTAGAAAGCAGAATGCCCAAAATATCAAAATTGCATGTTTTTGTTATTACACATGGTCATAACACAACTACAGGCAATGGATAAAAATGTTTTGTAACAAATTTGTTTATAATGAACCAAAAGTCTATAGCTAGATTAAGCCCAAATATGATGTCTCTACTGAGACGAAGAAAATCCGCAAAATATTAAAATCGCTGATTTTCGTGAGTAAATACACTAATAACTCAAAAATTAAAAGTGATGGAGTATTATATTGTACATATAAATAGTTTATTATGAACCAACAAATCTAATTCATAAACAGATTTAGCTTAAATAATATATATTATCATTTGGAACATGCAGTTTCCAAGCATCATATTATGGTATTATATTATATAATGTGAACCATTACAATACGATTATATAAAAGAGATTTGCTTGGTAAGATTTTTAAAGAAATATCATCATGTTAAGAAATTAGAAAAAAGGTTTCTGTTAGTTAATGTTATTATAGGTCAGCAATTGTTAGTGTTTATTATTTTGATTTGATTGTAAATGTTAGTACAGTAAAAGTGCAAACGTAGTGAGACTAACGATAAAAACTTATAATCATTTGAAATTGTGTCTACACAAAGTTATTTCGCCCTGAATGTTTAATGATTTAAAAATAGTTTACTTTATAGGTACAATTGAAAAGAGAAAAATTAAGAAGATTAATGGTAAATAAATAAAAAATTTACCGTAACCTTTAAAGTCCATGCGTAGCGGGAGCGCACAAAGTCATAACGTGACCTTTTAAACGTCGCGCCTTCCGAGATGAAAATTTTCAGGCGTGAGAAAGCGAAATCGGGAGATGTTTTTTTGAAGCTCGGGGGTAGGCCGGACGCGCACTGAGGCCTAGGATCTAGCAGGAGGCGGCAAACGCAAAATCAATAAGCCGGTAAAAATTAGCGGAGGGTGGACAATGGCGCAATGGCAAAAATTGGGGGGGAATGCGCGAAAATAGAAAAAGTGAGCGCGTTAAAAACTAGCGGTGCGCGCACGGACCGCGTCCGGGGGCCGAACCGACCGAAAAAAAGAAGAAAAAGTCCATCCGTGATTGGTTACCGATAATTGCAAAATCAATACGAACAGAAAACCGATTTAAAACTTTAATCATCTTTACAACAATCTTAAAAAAATTCAAAATAATAAAGCGAACTCACTCCAAAAATCTTTCTTTACTTTTCCTTCAAGAACTGGAATGAGTATCACCGATGTATCGTTATTTGTTCCAAAATTGTCCTTTCCATCACTTTTAATCTCACAATAAGAAAAAAAAAAGTCCTGAAGATGTTCACTTTGATTCACACGAAATCAAAATAAATTTCTTATTATGTATTAATAGTTTTAATTTCTTTTTACTTAATTTAAACCAAGAAAATAAACTTAATGAAATAATAATACTTTGCGAAAAAAAATCAACACGCGATTAAGAGCAAAAACGTACACGTGCGTAATTTTGTACGAGAGGACGCGAACGCGATCAGCGTCGTACGCGGTCGAAGACAGAACTACAATGAGAGCGAGGTGCAGGTTGCAATTGTTTCGGGCACAATCACCGAATGAGCGAAGCGGTGCGCGCGAGAGAGTGAGAACGAAACAACTCGGCTCGGCCGTCTTCGATGCGTGCGGAACACTTGCGCGTCGGACGAGACTGCTTGCTTCGCCTACCACGATTTGGGCCGTACTTACTTTTCGGTGGCACTTGCCATCATGGCTGCCAACCGAGGACATCCTAGGGACCCCTACGGTTATACCCTTATGTATAAGTAGAGGTGGTGTGAGTTAACTCGAACTCACGGTGCGCTTCATTCCGCTCAGCGCAGATTTGAAGTATCCCTCAATGTTGAACAGATCCGTATTAATTAATTTGTATTTTAATTTATTCTAATTTTTCTGTTGTGTTTCTTTGAATTCATATTTCTTACTACATTTTATGGTTAATTGTACATAAACAAAATCGTAAATAGAAGTTGTGAAAAGAAATTTAATGCCATCAAGAGTGGAATTAAACTTAATGTTTTAATAAAATTTACCCAAATAACGATTTGTAATTAAATCTTTATGAAACCCGTTCTGCTACTTTAGTGACCTATAATTTATTCGGCATGCCACGTTACTAACCAATAGAAAAGTGGATACTACACATTGCAGGCGTGGCTACGACAGGTAACTTTTAATACCAAACCGTAACCTTTGAGGATATTTTTTTGCTGAAATTTTATACAAAGAAGTAAGTATTTAAGGGCACTCTCAGTACTTTTAACCGGCTTTCACATTTCAAACCTGTTTCTAAACATTTAAGTTTAAACGAAGCACCGCAGTCTACTTTTGTTTACTACTTCCTTTTAGTCAGTATTCAAAACGAACAAAGAGAGCAAGTGCTTCTAGGATTTCTAGGTACAGCATTTTTCGTTCTGGTATTTGTCTAGGTATGTAGGTGTATTGAATGATTTTTTCACAAAGAAAAAATTTTCTACTAAACTAAAATCACACCAATTTAGATCTTACCTTGAATCTCGTATAAATAAAGAGTTTTTCAAAAATCCTTTCTGAAATTTTTTCTGTCACCGAAAAGAAAGACAGACGACACTAAGCTTTATAAATTCGTATATTACGTGTAAAGACAGAAAGAATGAGACGTCGCGGCGCTGTTCGCGATATTAACACGACGTCGTCAATCGCTTCCGGCGAAATCGGAATCTCCTCCGCTCGTGTGTCCGCTTGCGACGGACTCAATTCGTGACATGGCGTACCAGTGGCGTAACAGCGAAGCGCACCCCGCCACCGACGCCGTCGCCACCCCTTCGGCGTCCCGATGCCGCCACCGATGGTAAATGCGTTGCGCGAGTACTCTTCCGCCTTCACTTACGTACCCTCCCTCAAAACCATCACCCTCCGAATTCACCCCGCCCAACCCTTCCCCCATCGCACGTCGAACGGCTATCCCAGTTCCGCTCAAAACAAACCGTATCGATTAGCGTAGACTCTCTCGATATGACGACGTCATACAGAAAGTTACATTTAAAGCACCCATACTTAATTAAAAAAAGAAAAAAATTATCTAAGTTTAGCAAAAACAAGATAATTTGAAACGACCCAACTTGAAAAACTTTTCCTGTTCAGATAACTACACCGAAAGAAAAGAACTTTAGGAATATCTCCCACTACACATATATTTTGTGGTGGCATAATCACGGAAAATCTTTGGGAGAAAAGCTTTGGGTAAATGGGTTTTCAAAGCCCGATGACGCCGTAGGCGTAGGGCCTGATCTTTCGGTTCATTGTCCATTCCGCGAGGCGCACCGTTCAATACGAAAGTCATCGGAATGGACGGAAAGGCTGGGGAAAAAGGGCGAGGGAGGTTACGCCTCTTGCTTGGTGATTGAACTGCAGAGAGCAAAATAAAAATCACGGTCCGAGAAAATCGATAATCGGAGCCGGTCCTCGCCCGGTTCTTCTTTATCGGCGTAATTCCGTGTTGAAAGTGAACGTGTGACGACTTTAGGACGAGGAAGATACGACGATGACAACGCCCTAAACTGCGTAAACTTGATTCCTATTTAAGAATTTTGATATTTTTAATTTAGTCTTTAAATCTTCGGATTAATGAAATGAAGGAATTTTGAAGGAAACGATTCTTAAAGGTTTCAAGACATTTTTCAAATATATTCAGGAATTACTTAATTTTTCAGTATTCTTAAATATTTCCAGAACCTTTTAGGTATTTCCAGAAGTATACAAAAGATTTCCAAAGATATCAAACAGTTCTGAAAGTTTTATAACAATTTCTAAAGACATTCAGGTATTACTAAGGATTTATGCGGATTTCTAAGTATTTCCAGAAATTTTGCAAAATAATCACACCCTTATGCAATGCCACATATCTATTTTGACCTTCAATTACCAATACATGGCTATGCCCTTCCACGTTTTTACATGATTCTCATGCCTAATCGTTCAATATTCGGCAAAGCTTCTGAAGTATAACCAGCTATTCTTCTTTAGTACCTCATCTCCATAATAGTTGATTATAGACATAGTGATGTTTTCGTAATCGGCCTTCAGTTGAGAAATTAGATCCTGTAAATTGGAGTCTTGCCTACGAATGGTTGATGCTAAGAGAGTCAAATTATAAAACCTGGTCAATTTGAAGTTGTTAGAGAAAATTCTTGACTATATTTGCAGCCTTTTTTGATAAAAATGATATAGTTGAAAGATCTTCGTGTTATAATTGATTTTTTTTTTGGTTAAATGTTTAAATTCAGGGAGAAAATGGGTAAGTTTACGTACACAACGCCCTAAGCTATTATTTCACCAATCCCCATCCTTTTAAAAGGGTGCTAACGTAAATAATGCGGAATTTTTTCATCGATAGCCATTTGGTTAACTACCACCCTCGTGATGACATCGATTATGTAACTTTTATGTTTTGTACTAAGGGGATAGATAAACTTTAAATGATTTAGAAGTGAATTGGTGATAAGTTTGTGTACTTGGAACACTTAAATGTATTCGAAATTGAATTCGGCAACGGGATTGATCACCTCCTTGTTTTTGGGAAGCGCCCAGTCGCGTTGCGTTGATTTGAGAACCGAATTTAGCAGCTAATCTATAAATATTTCTCGCTACCCCTTATCTCCATGAGAGTCAACCCCACGCGCTTAGATACGATTCGTATCCCCTAATCGAGGGACGGGGTTGACAGGTGCAAATCCCCCAATATTGCGCTACGTCCTACGCTCCCTTCGCCTTTCCTACCCTTTTACCCTACAACTAAAACCTTCCTTTTCATACCAAAACACCCTCAATCCTGATTCATTTCCTTATTCATTAGTATTGATAACTTATAACGTTTATTAACCCATTTGCATCATTCATAAGCCATCTTGAAAGACGCACGTCTAAACCCAAATGTTTCTAGTTCTCGGTTACTTTCAGTTCAATAAATATATACATGCAAATGGGTTAAGGGAATGGAAGAAAAATATAATGTATAAAATATAAAATGTGTTGATTGATTCGTATGTTAAAACGTATAAGTCAACAGCAATCAGGATGGAAACAGTAAATTGAGTCCATCCCACTTTTCCTGGCAGTTAATATCTAAACGTGAAAAAGGGAGAAAGAAATAATCCTAAGGAAAAAATTAAATTGCAAAAGTTCCAACTTGTCGAAATTTTCACCGTTTCAATAAATCACCAATTTTCCGATCTGAAAACAGAAAGGACTTAAAAATCCTCATAGCGGCAAGAAGTCGTCTGGCCAAAGCAATATCTCATTTCTTTCGCAACGGGAAAATAGTCTCCACCTCAAGGTTTGTTCACACTTGACAAAACAAATAACATAAAATTTTTGTTATGATCAAAACTAAATTTTTTTAATATTTTATCATGTCAACGTTTCATTGAGTTAACTTGACGCTAATTGAGATTTATAAAACATCACCTTAGAAATTAGAAAATTGAATGTGTTGATTAATATCATTGGTTTTTTAATTTGTAATGATAAAAATTATTGTAAAATTTCTGGTCAAGTTATCCCCAATGGAAATCACGCTTCATCTATCAGATGAGATATAGGTCGTTCTCCATGGAGAAAGAGAGACCGGAACAAGGTCACCGGAGATCCGACGCCTCTCTCTTCCTTGTCGAATATAGAGAACACCGAAAATCGATAATGCCGACGCCTCTTACGTAAGCGCCGTCCTGCTGATACGAAAAGCGTCGATCGGTGCCGGAAAACCCCGATTTTGCAGGTGGTGCTCTGATTGACATATCTTCATATGGGTTGTCCTGCGGGTTCTTTTCACAATTTTCCCAACTTTCCTCGACAGGAAACCACCACAGCTCCATACGAGGAAACCTCGACTTCCCAGTCTCGTCGCGTAAAGACTCCACCATTTCCAAAATTTCGTTAGTGTACCCCGAATGTAAGGTTAAGTGAAAAACAACTCGTAAGTGCAAAATCAAAACACGAACAGTGCGGGGTTTCTTTTGTATTGTTTAGTTTAAAGGTGTGAAAATCAGGACATAGTCGAACACCTGACCTTACCCGCAATATGGCACCAGCAACTAACACCTGAACTATTTAAATGTAGGTCAAAAAGGTCCGCAAACGCCAAAAACGATTAAATTAGGTTATAAACTTCCGGGAAGGATGCGTGAAATAGTGTAATTTAACAATTTACGACAATTTCGTTTAATGTTTGATGAGGTGATGTTGGGACGTTGATGGGAAGGACTTGACAATCTCTCCACCATGGTGTAGAAGGGGGCCATGACATCAAGGCAACCCCCTTCTAACGGTGAAGAACAAGGGACCCGGTCCCCGCACCTCAGCGTACAGGTACGTTGTTTTATTAATATTTTATTTCAAATTGTAGAGGAGGTTATGTGAGGTTAGGTCTTTAGAAAACACGCCTGCCTCTACGATCGATACTTATCATCATCATTAATGGAATTGAATGTGGTTGCGGTGTATTTCACGTAAATATTTACGAAGCATGAATATTAATTTATGTTATTGTACTTTATAAGCTAAACTCATCATGCAGATCAAAACATGAGCATGTTTTGCAATACATCAAACTAAAATATTTTAGTTATTCCTTATTATTGACGCAAAATAATTCTATTTCTCAATCTTTTTTATTCTAGCATTTGTAGTAACAATAATCCTAGAAGTCACCTGTCAAAACGTCTACAATCTATCTTCAAAACCCTTTTTGAGTTAAAAAATATACCTCTATTTAATCTTTACTGGCAGGTGATACAGCGGAACACCATGCCCTACCATAATGTTGCGTAGTTATACCTTTTCGGTGTATCTACACTGTTGCGACCTTTATCTTGATTTGAAAAAAAATATACAATGGGGATTTGGCTGTCCTTTGTTCGAAAATTTTAATTGAGTTTATTTAGAATCTAGATGAAACCCTATGGATTGTCCATGTCGGTCCGTTTTTACCTGGCCTCATTAAATTGCAGTTGTCGCCCAAGCAGACGTCTAACATTATGAAAAGGGAAAAATTAAATTATGTGCATGGGTACGGCATTTGGGACAAAATCCTCATGAATTATTTAAGGCGCCGGCCATCTGTGGGTATTAATTTTAATGGTCTGAGAATTTGCTGTAATAACCGCATGTTATATTATAAAAAATACCGTTCCGCTTCAAAATTTGCATGAACGTATACACAATATCGTCGATTTCCGTGTTTTTCTTACTTGTATCCAAACAAACATATCAATATAAACTATCTTTTATAATAAATCCAAAACGTGTAGTGCCATATTGGTTATAAACAAAAAATGAATTACGACACTTTCTATTGCACCCACTTAGGTATCGTCTTCCACGATAATTTAAACTACTCCTAATTTATATTCGGTATAAACGTAAAAAACGTGTTTCGCAATAAACACTGAGCTCCTTCACAAACCGAGTTTCCTATACAATTAACCTCTTTGCATTTCATTTACTACACGATGAGCTGAAAACTGTAATATTCATCAAAGGACGTTTTCTAAACGTGGTATTCGATTTAGAGAAAATTTACATAATAGCACTTTTGCGGCCGTGATTTACGACGAAACCGAAAATTTCCTCATACTCTGAATTTAGTTGACAACAAGCCGCGTTGATAAATCCTCAGTTTGATGGTTACTTTTACACAGCTGTTTCGATAAATGTGTTACTTTTTCTTGGCAACTTTGAACATTTCCGGTCGTTCTTATTTTTAAAATCTTAATAAAAACTTTCGAACATCTCTTACAAATTCTTGAAAATACTCCAACGTATTTAAGTATTTAGATGATGTCCAAACCATAACAAAAACTCTTGGAATCTCAAGTAATTCTTGGAAATCGTTGAAATTAATTAGAAATTTATGAAACAACCGTCGATAATAGAAGAATCATTGAACACATCAAAAGCTTTATCACATATTAACCCAACCCCAAAGTGAGCCAAACCAACCCCAAAGGAACCCAACAATCCAGTCCAACCCCGAAGATACTCAACAAGGTAACCCAATGCCAAAATAACTGGACCACAAAGTATCCCAACCTGAAAGAAAGGTAATCCAGTACCAAAGATATACAATCCAATGTAAGTCAACCCTACTGTAAAGCAACTCAACCACAATGTATTTATCTCCATAGCAACTCATCTCCAAAGCAGCTCAAAATAAGCTTCAAAATAAGACGACCACAAAGCAAGCTAATCCAATCCCAAACCTATCCAACTACAAACTGCATCTTTCCTAAACACCTCAACTTGCTCAAAAAGTTTTAAAATTTGTGTCAGAAATGAATTTAGTGTTTAGAGTTAATGGAAATGGTGGGATGTATATCGAACGAAATTGCAAAAACTTAAATACTTTATTCAATTTCATTTGATATATTTAAAGTTATTATAAATTTTGACCGTAAAATTAATATTTGACCGAACAATGGTCAATTATAATTCAGATCTCGGGCAATTTTAAAAAATCTCTTAACTCTCGGCCGACGGCAACTTTACCTGATATTTTGTCTCCTGTCAGAATCGACTAATGAAATGTCCATTTACTATTAATCTATCGGCCGGTGAAAAATATTGCCGAGATACAATCTTTTTTCCCCCAGATAAACCTCTGCCCTCCTTGGCCGACCTTTTTCATTTAGACTAGAAAGAACCATTAAATTTTTTGACGCCAGGTATTAAGAGCGCATTAACGAAGGTCCTGTCCAAAAAGACGTCGTGAAAAACAATTTAGATCCCTAACGGCCGCTCGAAGGTTCGTCTGATGTACCTCATCGGTACCTCTGCGGTTTTCGTTTAATTGTTAAGGTAAAACTGGTAAATTACTTTCATATTTTATGGACCCGAGTTCGGGTATTTGGTACGCGTGCTCAGGTAAAAACTTCGAACGGTGAGAACATTCCTTTTGTGAAACTCAATATCTAAAGAGATGAATATAGTTCTTTTGTTTGAATACTTTAACTTTTTAAATATTTTAACTTTATTCTTAGCTTTAATTTCTTTTTAAATCTGGGATATTTTTCTCGATCAAATGCATTTATTCGTATAAAAAGAATACCTATAGTAAATTGGATAATAAATTATAACAATAAATTAATTATATTAGGGGCTAAGAATTCGAATGGCCCTTAAAGAGGCAAATGAAAAGAAAAGGGTGCTCTACTACGGTACCTCCATTACCGTTACCGTTTTCTCGGTCAGTTGGTCCCTTGTGCTTCCAAACCGTTCCTTCCTCTTTTTGTTTTAGTTTATTTTTTTCTCGCACGTAAGATCCCTCGCATGCTGTAGACCTTCGGATTCGATGGCGAACTTTTTACCTGGATTATTTCAAGGGCAAACCGGGAGGATTTTATGATAATGTAGTTACCAGTTTTTGGAAACCAGTGATTCTAAAACATTTATTACTATTTTAAGTTAGCAATCAAAAATGTTTATGTTTCCAGTAGAGAAAGGGTATGGTATAATTACTTTAAAGTTTATGTGGAAAGAAGACTTTCGAAAACAGTTCCCCGCTGAGCTGGTAAATGTAGAACGCGCAAAGTTGAGAGTTCCAGGTATTTTAGAGGGGTGGTAGCCTCTCTAAATATCCATCTACATCGTCCACCTTGCGCTGTCAAAAGTTTCAAGCCTCTCCCTCTCAATCCCCCATTCCCCTATCTTGAAACACCCCCGAAATCGGCCAACTGAGTTCTATTGTCCGGAGGGGTTATGAATTCCGCTAAATAATTGTAGAGCTTGTCCACAAAATGCCGGATGATAAATGTTGCCGTCCGTTGCGTCGGCTCTAGTATTTTTTAAGGGATGAGGGTCGCCTTCTTCGATACCTAAGGCTACCTAAGCCCTGGTTTTATAGCAAACAGGTGCAGTTATGGCAAGTAAATCTATTATACCGAGTTTTTTCTTGTAAGCGTTTCAATAAATGTTCAATTCACGTGATATGCCTTTTAAAGAAAGGAATGATTTTTAAAAAATTTACAACTTATTTACAATTATAATTATTAAGTTGTTGTTTGAAATATAGCGCAGCTGTGAGATGTTATAATTAACATATTCAGTTTCACTCCTAAAGCAAAGTTATCGAAACTCTACATATTTCTTATCTACCGACTTTTAAATTTCTTCAAATGCTGGTCGGTTTCGTTTAAAGATTGTGACAAACGTATTGACATTTGGCGGTTCCAGGTAGTTTCTTCTTGGAATTTTCATCCTAAAATTACAGTGCAACCCCTACGAAGGGTCGAAATTTGAGGATTTGTTTGGTAATTAATCATTACCATGTCAGTTATGTACTGCTTTTCTTAAGAATTAATATTATTAAGTATATTATTTTTTAAGATAAAGTATTTTATTGTAAAACAGTAATTTACTGGATTATATGTAGGCATATAATATGTATATTAATTATGTTGAAAAAATGGATCTCAGAAATTAAAAGTTATTTATACCTATAATATATATATGTATTTAGATTTGTTACATATAGTAGATGAATATGTAGTGAATAAAGTTGATAATTTTGTCGTTGTATGCCCTTGGCCCTTTTTAAACATAAGGTCCTGTGGCGCAACGGATAACGCGTCTGACTACGGATCAGAAGATTCCAGGTTCGAATCCTGGCAGGATCGATTCATTTTTTTTGACATCTTTTTTATAATCGATTATGTATAACAATAATGAGTTACTATTTTTGAATAGAATATTTTGACTCTTATCTATCATATTGGGTTAAGTCCAGTAATTTAATCTCTATCATTAACTTAGCAAAGGTCGCTTGCGATCGAGACACTGCAATATGTGTTGCCTAATTTTACATTTGTGTGAAGCCTGTTGTAGAGCCTCGGTCGCAAGTGGCCTCGGCTTAATAAATTTACAGTCTCAGTGTCTATCATTAACTTAGCAAAGGTCGCTTTCGATCGAGACACTGCAATATTTGTTGCCTAATTTTACATTGGTTTAAAGCCTATCGTAGAGCCTTGGTCGTAAGTGACCTCGGCTTGATTAATGTATACTTTCAGTGTCTATATTATTAACTTAGCAAAGGTCGCATGCGATCGAGGCACTGAAATATGTGTTGTACTTTCAAACGTAACAACATAATCATTCAATTTAACATCGTTTTCTAGTGTGGAATCATTTCCAACTCCAGCAACGTCAGTACCAATTGGAAAGTCAATTTTCAAGAGCTTCTTTAACTATTACTAAATCTAGAAATAGCTTAGCCGTCGATTCTGTAAGAAGTCTAAATCATGGATTCAAAATCCAGATTTTAATTACTGAATACTTACAGAATACTATTAATGATTATACTTAAAAAAATATGTTTTGGTCAATAAATAGTGTGTTTTTATAATTCATTTATTAATCAAATAAGTATTTCAAGAATTCTTGATTTCTTGCCAAGAATTTTTGAAATCATCTTCACGGTGTCTTGTCTAGTCTTGAATTATAAGTTCATCATCTTGTCTTGTTTTTGTCTTGATTCAAGACAACATCTTGAAATTTACAAGAAATTGGCGACCCCTAGATTTATGCAATAAAATTAAACTAAAAGAGTTCAGTTTTAATTATTTTGCTCATATTATTAAACGTAAAATAATCTTGTGAAAATAACGTAATATGGCACGCGTTGCTATGACGTAGTACTTTAACATGACCGTTATATCCACGTTGGTCCCGAGATAACCTCCTATATGAGGCGGGAGACGTTGACATAATATGACGTCGGGATCATAAATTCTCCTTCGCGGCCCTGCACGACGTCGGATACTACACGTGGTTTGCTGCATACTAATTTTTTGTTGGTATACTGCTAAACAATTTGAAATAGAATTGTTTCAAATTCAATTTCTTTTTTGTTTTATAAATTTATAGACAAGTTTTTATTATAATAATTTAATTCTCCATATTCTAATAGTCCATGGTCACCTGTTCTGCAAATTACAATTTATTGCCAAGTATTGAAAGCTATTCGAATCTATTTTGTTTATTACCACGCTGAAACATTCACGAAGGTAAACAGGTACGTGCGTTTTGAATTAACGAGGCATTTGCCGAAATTTACATATATACGATAGATCTTTAAAAAACGATTTGTGAATAACAACAATTTGTATCGTAGACGCAATAAAATAAATTTTTATATCTTTGTTTTCTCTAAGTGATTCTCATTGTGGTTACTGGGAGCTTACGGTAATGTAATTTTAAAACGATACCAACAATGGGAAAACGTCCTATTATCATTGTACTGTTTAAATTGAGCTTTGTTTAGATCCCTCGAGCCTATGAGGAGTTTAACATTATTTATATTCTCTTAGAATTGTTTCTCATTATAATTTTTATTAACTATTGTTCAAATGGACTGAAATAACGGACTCCAGATTATATCATGTTATGGAATTGTAGCGTTAAAACATTAGAATTTTTAAATAATTTTTTGAATATGAACAAGTTGACACTGATACCTAAAAGTCTCCGGTTCAAGCTCAATCAGTCAAGTGTATAATGGACCGGGTAGTTTTACTTTCCGCCTATCGATTCTCTTTGTTCATCCAGCCGACTTGAGTGGCGTGACCTAGAAATCGTTAAATACCGAAAGAAAAGACGTATCGGATTCCGAATTTATAAATATCTAACTCACCATTTCTGAATCCGGGGACCTAGCAATTGGCAGCGAAGAAACAATGGTCCGCCCGGTATCGGAACAAAGGTAACCTTGAGACAGAAGCAAAATTCTGCATTGAAAGGAAGTGCCTAGCCAGAAGCGTTTTGATTTTTAACCGCGCCGGACTATCTTCACGAAAAGACTATGCTAATTTCCATTCCAGGAACTGTTTTGTTATGTACGTTTAAAATTATGCCCCCTAAGAAAATACAAACGCCGATACAAAATATGTTTAGTATTATATCGGACACGGTATTTATCCCACAATTCAACTTCGCGGGAACGTGAAAAAGTCCACAATTTACCGATAAGTTGAGATTATCGCGTCAGTAAATTACGCAGTACTATTACGCATACCACAATAATTATCGCAATTACCAGCAATCGTTAGGAAGTCGGTCAGTTTTCCTGTTGTTCGTGCTGTGATAACAAAAAAAATTGAAGGAAAATAAAAAGAACCTTTTCATAAATCTTATTACCGTTATTACATAATTAGGTTTATCAGCTTCCCAACCAACATTTCCTGCTATAATCATTTTTAATTTTGTATTATATAGAAGTCTTAATTGGGATACTCCATATACATTATATTAAAACATCACGTGCACAAACCCTTCCAAATCTGCCAGAAACATTGATTGTCTACAAAACAAACGGGATAATTCATCCAAACAGCGAAAGCAGTGGCGTGTTAAGGGCATATGTCAGGCGAATCCGCGCCCCATACACTAACCTCTTTGCCGAGTTACATCAGAACGTGTGGCGTGCAATAAGCTGTCGTCGCCTCTTTCTGTGCCATTGGCAGCGATAAATCCTGTGCGTAGACGGACGATTCAATTGAATATGTAACACACGCGTTTGGCCTTGCGCTTGACACTTTAACAAGTGGCTTGTCGTTTCGCATAAAAATGAAACCGGCGAATCACGCGAGTCTTGAATTCAATTTCTCCGGAGGGATTCCATCAAAACGATGTTTCGTTGAGAACTTGCTTTTCTATTGAAGTCAATTTCTTTTTTACTACGAACTATGTATTTTATAATAAAAATTGTTGTAGGAAATATATTGCGATTTGATAACGAATTTCCTAACATTAAAATTAAAGTTAAGATCATAACATCTGGTTTTCGTGTAAGAACCGGATTCTGGTAACATGTACTATGGAACCGGTTCCTAACACACGGGGAATTACATGTAAGTACCAAAAATACAAGATTGGAAATTCAAAAGAGTCTCAGTACAAAAAAAATTAAACTGAGATATTGCATAAAACATGTCTAAAACATAATAAAAATAAAAAACTTCCTTGAAATAGTTTTATTGAGGACAGAAAACACCACCATAAGGGCTACATTTATAGTTACAAATAAAACATAAAAACTTACATGAAAAATACTAACTTAAACATGACGACTGTTAGAAGGTTCTAAGTGCTAAGGACAAGAAAGCATAAAAAGGGTCTATATCCAAGGAATCTTTTACTACGATGCTGTTCTTTCTATGAGATCTTCATATCATTGATTATATTTCAATGTAATCAGTCTTTTAGATTCTTAAGTTAGGCTGAAATACGGTTTTTGCAGTTGAGGTCGGAAACCACTGCATGAGAAATGCCATTCGACCTTTTTCCTTTTTTTAGGACATTAAAAGTTATCCATGGCTCAAATCAGAAATGGTCTTCTTGTTTTTACTGAGGTTGATAAATCTGTGGTAAGTGAGGCCACTTACCAGAAACTTAGATCCTTTCGAATTTACACTTTTAAAGTAGTTACAGAGAGACAAGTTAAATTAGTTACCTTTATGTATTTGGGATATACATATAATAATTAAAATAATAAATAGCTTATTCGAATTAAATTGTTTTTTTTCTGAATTAATTGTTTAGGTAGAAATTTAGAGAGTTAAATTGGAACCACAATAATTATACCCAGTAGCAATTAAACGGGAAATCATAAAACAGCTTTAACATGAATTGGTGAAATGGATTGCAACATCAACTTTAATTAATTTGCAAATAAGCGATCGTAAATGTTAATAATGATAATTGATTGATCTAAATTAGCTATATTCTACCGATTTTGTTTCAGAATATCACCGAAAGTGGCGGGGTCAAACCGCGTCATCATATAAGAAAATTTACCACATCCGGCAGCCTAAGTGACAGTTCGTCGAGCGTTAAACGTCAGGTAAGATTTTTCAATATCATTTAATTGTGTTATAATATAAATCATTCCAAAAGTTTGCACCATGTAACGGTTTGTCTTAAATGACGAGTTAAACCGCTTTAATTAACCCGTGTTTCGAAAGTAGACCTTCGCTAATTGCAAACCGTTGTTTCATATGTTGAGACGTTGAACTACTCTATCTGGTATCCGTCAAATTTTTTCTTCGTTAAATGAATATTAAATATTTTTAGAGGTTATTTTTATTTTCCAATTAAGAATTTAATGTATTTTATTACTCTGCATACGCGAAAGACTTTGTAGAAACGGAATGTTGTTCATTAAAACATTGTATTTGGGTTACATAGTGCCACGTTATACATAGTAGTTCCTTTTCATATACTGAAAATATTTTACATTCCGATGTGTGTTCTTAAAAGGAAATAAACTCGGAAGCCAGCGTGATGAAACGACTTCGTAAAGGATGAGTAGGTAACGTTGCCTAGCTAGGTTTTATCTGATTTAAGTCACTCGACATGTACCAAAGTTATTTTCGTCGGTACTCGAATGTACCTTTTACTTGAGAGGTATGTGATAGAGAAAACCAGTTTTGAAATTGGTATTTGGATTATAATTGCCGCGGTCGTTTATTTTGAAAACTCTAATTGGACTTCAAGTAAAAAAATGACCGTTATCGATAGATATAAAATGATTTATAGTAAAGATTTGGCAAAGTATGTTATTAATGTTAAATATCAATAATAATCCTGATCTCCTTCGCTATGTACATACTTCAGCAAATTAAGGGTTTTCATTTCTGAAGCCGTAAGAATGAACAGCACGTACTTTGCACGTGTTTATGATCCTAAGCTACGATAAATTCTAATTAATAGTCGGTTAAAGCGTACGTATTCGTTGGCTCACCTTCTAGTTTCTATTACGTAATGATGAAGAAGCCGAACATTAAAACCGTTATCTTAAGATTCTTTCTTTTGGAGATTCCTCTCAGAGATTAAAATAAAATGGTACCACGTAAATTAACTCATAGCGAACTTAATAAAGTTCGATATCAAGTCATTTGTATATGACGAAATTTTCTATATCTCTACTTAGTAGTTACAACCAACAATCTCTTTTCCCTTATAATTAAAGCCTATTTCCATAGCATGTCATCTAATCAAATGCGGCTTAATAGAATCAACTAAGGATCGACTGGATTCAGAGTAGTGAAAGTTAACTACACCCGGTGGGCCATCGAGTACCATTGAATTTACATATCAAGGATGAAACACCCAATGGAGTGGTTCTTCTCTTTACCCGTAGGCCGATTTCTTACGGCACTAAGATTTGCTGGTGTCCATTAGGAGTCGTGGTCGTCTAATAAAATATAGCTCATGAATAATAACATGTAATAAAAGAACATAATGAGGAGTTGTGAAAGACTTAAACGTAACGTTATTTTTTTTTCTTATTTGTCATGAAAACTCCACGTTTTACATTTAATAATGGTTACGATGATAACTAAATGAAATCTTTGATACAAGGAAATAATTAATAACATGGAAATCTCTTTGGTGTTGGCCTCCATTTCCATGGAACAACAAACACTCTTAGATGATAAATCTTAATTAAACGAAACGCAATAAATCGACTATAAAAGTCAAAACAAATTGACGCCGATCGCGTTAGATCTTATTCCTTGGAAATTGCGATTTATTGTTGAAATTTGACAGAGTAATGAAAGAGTTTTCCCGTCATCCTCTGCCTTTTTGGCACCGAAATCTATTAACCCCACGTTACGTCTTTAAAATAAATTGTATATTCAACAGCTATGCTTATCGACTTCGCACTGCTGAAACGGCATTTCGTATTTCAGGATGTTTATACATTTGATTTCCTCCCGTATTCATGAAATGAAAATAAACCAATCGTTATTAGAGGTGTATCATTTGGTATTTTCGGTAATATCGAGTATTATACATAGCAAACTTTGAAAGTAAACGTTTTCTAAACGGTCGATTGTATATTATGTGGGGTGCGCATGTAAAATATCGAGCACTAAACTGTCAACATGGAGTATAATTATTCGTTTATGTGTGCAAGATAGAGCTTTAAAATTGAATTATGCCCGCCCGATTGACGGTTTGAAAATATGCAATGGTAATTCGCGATTGCCTTGACTTTTTATGTAAAATTCAAGAATTCGTGCATGCCGATTCGACTATTTATCATAATTGGCGGTAAACAACTATTATTGGATTGGTGGAAACGAAAATATTGAAGTCAAGCACGAAATCCTTGAAAGTTTATTAACTATGCGTATACAGGGTTATTAATAATTATTGAAGTGCACGAAAAAATATCGTGGAAATAAGAATTTTTGAAAATTTCATAGCCAAATCAAGCCTAGATGTCATTATTTTCCAGGAATAAAGTGACAAACTTATGTTAAATGTGTCGAAATAAATGGTTTTCATTACAAAACTTTCATTACTCAGAAATTTAAATCGATAGAGGAATTATAATCCATAATCATTTCTAGCCATCGTTATTTCTTTGGGAATAAAACGAAATCTCCAAAAATGTTAAAGTGATTATCAATTTAATGCATTTTCTTTATTACGTCGAATTCTGGAAGTATTCAATAATATAATTATAATGCACCTTAATAATCATGCAGACCACAAAATAAATAAATAATAATAAAACAAATAAGCAAATAAGTTAATACAAGCGATCAGCAATAACAGGCAGAAGCCTAAAAACCACACAATAAATGAATACATATTTGGCCATATCGACTGTAATATGGGTAGCACTGCATCACTAATTCTGATAAACAGAATTGCGCGTGGTTTACCACAGTACATTAGACCATTGTTGGTCGTAAAACTCGTGTTCTTCGAGCTCACAGAAATGTGATGTTCAGCAATGTATTTTCTAAACTTGTTGTACGCTTTCGGCGCAGAATACGTAAAACACCTTTGACCAATCGCTCTTGTTAGTTGCACGTCCATACGAATTCTAAAGCGAGTATTATGACCATGGTCTACAACTCGGTGGATTTCCTGGTGCTGTAACGCATATTTTATTACAGTTTGAACATAGATTAGAGGGATTGATAATACCTCATATTTTATAAATAATTGATGAGTTTTGAATTTTATACCCACATTAAGTAAAGTTTTTGAAATCAACCTTTGGATTGTGCGTAACTTTTCTAAGTACATTTCTGAAGTTGTTCCTGAAGCAATAATGCCGTATCTGAAATTTGCTTCAACCATTGCAAAGTAATATTTCCTCATGAAAGTGCTCGTCACATGAGCTTTTTTGCACATATTGCTAATACACACATCCCACCTGAAATACTGATCCACCTGAAACACTAAGAGTTTTAGAAGTGCTTTAATAATCAAAAAGAATAAATAGAAATGAGTAAAAGTACAAAGAGGTTTCTTAAAAATTTCTCTAATACTAGTGGTTTAAAGATAAATTGGGAAGATAGTTATTCACATGGTTCGGTCAATAGGTAGTTGATCTGATCTGTGTTGTTAAAATAGTCTCTCCACACCGAGTTTTATAAGTGGGGCAAATCGTTAATCACATCATCTACGAGATGAATGCGCCATTCTATTTTCGGCCTCAGGTGATTGTAGTACTTAAAAATATTTATTTGTAACATCTCGTTATTAGAATTTAGATCTCTAGCCTCAAAGGCATTTGAACTACATAAATTTTTCATTACGTTTTAAAACAACACGCCATGATTCAACCAACCGAAAAGGTCTTATAACATCATCTAACCGACTTAACTATAGATTAATAACCACGATACATCTTAAGATATCTTAAAATAGTTCAGAAACCATCATAAAACCCACCATTTTAACAGTTTATATTCACGCGGGAGCGGTGTCGGTGTGATTACAACCGTTTATATTGCCATTATTTTGCATGCTGATGGGCCGATAACGTGTGCTTAAGTGGCCCCATCCCGACCTGCCCACGGCTGCTTGCAATAACTACTACCGAGCTCCTCTCGGACCGCCTTCGACGTTGTAATTTCGCTTGCGCACGTGTGCGTAAACACCACTTGTAATTATGGCCGCAAACTGGACGGCAATTACTCACTCCCGTCAGATTTAGTGACAAAGTTTGTGCGTGCGCTACGAATTGGTAATGATCCGGCAACCATGAATTATTTATCGGTACGGTTGTACGGGGATAAATCAGTATTAATGTAATACCGGCTCGACGAAGCGGATCGTTGCAGCTGTATCAGATATATATAAGCAAGTAACCCGAAGATATACAATCATACAAATTAGTATGTCGAAACTTATTATAACAAAAATTAAAATTTAATATTAACATATTTTTATAGGATATGACGATAGAAAAATATAAATTCGACGAAGAGCAAAAGAATCGATTCCAAAGCTTTAATAGCGTAGCAATCACGTTTTTATGGCTGGAGAGGCCGTCCAAATTCGCCCGTTCGGACCGTTTATTGTTGTTACTCCGACATTAATTGGTATGTAAATAGTAAGGCGGCACTTTCGTGTATGCGTGACGCAAGGAGCAATAAATTGGGCGCAATAACGGCTTGGTCATATGCGTGAATAAATTTTATACGTCTGCGTGCGTGCGCTTTGTTGAAATCGAATAACGACGAGGAAAAGGAGAACTTCTCTCCTTCGCGGCTATGTTTATTTATACCTACGAAATGAGATCGATTTTTATTCTCTGCTCTCTTATATGAATATGGTCGATATATCAGCGGGGGAGGATTCGTGTTTTCGCTGTGCCTTTAAATATTTACATCGCGGTAATCGTCTCTAATTTTTCCATTTTATTGGAACCTTAATCGAGGATTGTCACTGAAATTATTTAAATGCGAGGAATTATTGGAGCCATTCGATACAAATAAACATAAATAGCAATATACGATTTAACGGATTTATTTTGTAAATAGCCATTTATTTGTTTGTTGTATTCGCAAGAATATAAATTTTCACGATTTA